CTGAAGGCTGAACCAGCTATGAAACTGGCACCTGTGGCCTACCCCAACGAGCGGAACCGCGAGCCCTGGCACAACATCTCCAGGAAGAACCCACCCGAGGCCCCCGGAGAACCAAGAAGTTGGACATTGGACAGCAGGTGGAAGAAGCCGCCTCCATATGCTGCTCAACCGCAGAGGCCGCAAGCAGCAAAGGACAAAAGGGCGAAGACAACCTAAGAGCCAGGGCCCACGAGGATTCCAAGGAAAAAGCAAGCACCACCTGTCGACATGCGAGACGCGCAGCAAAAAACCACGACAGGGCATCCCGCAGAATCCGCGCAAACAGCTTCAAAAGTGCAGATGACGCACGAGCAGCCGAGACCAAGGCGCCAGACCCAGGAACAGCCCCAAGTGCCACAACATCCTCCTCAAGCCAATCCGAAGACAGCTCCAGGAGGAAAAAGAAACGCAGCACCGAAGCCAGCAAGTGACGAGCACGGAAGTCCTCAGCCACAAGCGCAGCTGACAGGGAAGGAACCTGTACGTGAAGCTGAATCACGCCAACATCCCGCAGAAGGACAGGAGCGAAAAGATACTCATTAAGGTGCTCAAAGTCGCCTACCAGGTAAACCTGGACCACAGTCAATGCCTCGCGCCATTCCAGTGTGAGGGTACGATAGAATGCATCCCAAGCATCCAACATGAACAACGGGGCAGTCCGCAAGCCAGGACGACTCCAGAACCTCATAACGAACGCAGTATGGAGACGAAGATCCAAACCTGAAGGAAGACGGATCCATTATAGAGGCATACTTCGGGTCGCATAGGAGGTAAGCCGCAATGGCTGCCTGCACCTCAGTAGGCGAGATGCAGGAAGCCAAAAATCTCCAGAAGGATGGAACTGAAGGACCCACAGGGACACGGAACCGAACTCGGGGAGGAGCCGAACCCAAATCCAACTCGTATGCAGAGGGGGGGGGGGGAAGAAAAACCCCACTCCTTATAATAGTAAGCCCCGCTCTGCAGGGTAGGAAAACCTAGGCAGGGTCCAACCGGGCCCAAGGCCCCCAAGTCAGCTCCTCCCCAACCCCAGGAACCTCCACGTCATGCCCCGGGGGCGAGTCGTCCTCCAAAGCCCCAGCCTCACAAGAAAAAGCTGGGGCAGCCGAAATAGCAGGAAGAGAGGGGGGGCCCACTGGTCAGACCCCGGAGCTACGGCTGGAGGAACTGTCTCAAATGCCTCTGTCACCACCCCGGAAGGGGCAACCCCTGAAACTGCCCGTGTCTCAGAAACCTCTAAACCCTGCCCTGACCCCGAAGCCCTTAGATGCTTAGGAGCTGGAAGCATGGGGGGCGGGACAGAATGAACCACAGCAGGGGAAGAACAAGGGGGGTGCAGATTGAACCAAGGGCAACGCGACCAACACCCCCAAGTCCGGGTCCTTATAAGCAAAGTGGGGCAGCCTCGGGGCATCCAGGGAAGCAACCAACCTAACACGTTGCAGCAACCTAAGCCTAGCCTGCAATGCACAAGCTGTCTGCACCTGAATAATGTCATCCGTGGATTGGGTGAACTAAGTAACAAACAAGCAACAATGCTCGCAGGACTCTGGGTTGAAGGTGTCACCGACCCAACAGGCAGCATGACAGAGGCAAAAACAATGAGCGTCGCCCTGAGACGAGGAGACAGAGCAACCCTCAAACTCGCACAAGGCGAGAGGGGACTAAGGGGTAGAGGGGACCGAGTAGAGGTGCTGTGTAACTCTGCGTCTGGCTCTTGTCAATGACAGTGCTGTTTTTGAGGGCCCCCCCCCTGTTAATATTACTCCCAGTTCGCACACCACCATAAGAGCAGTACTGAACCAAAGGACAGCATAACACAAGGGTCTGGAGCTGGAGCCACACGACCTTGCCATATCACATCAGCCGAAGAAACTGGGTGTGGATCGCCGGCACGGGGTTCTTGGGCTCCCCCTTCCCCTCCCAGGGAGGGGGGGAGCTGCGCAGACATGCGGCGCGGCTCGTGTGACATAATGCTCGTTTGCTCATTTTCATTTGGGGGGTTCTGTCCACTCTCTTGTCTATTTTCATCATTTTTAACCAGAAGGGTTTGTTTTGGGGTGTTTACCTTTCTGGGTACCTGTCCTGGTCGATGGCAGATATAGAATGCTCCACATTACATGTGCATTTCTATAGGCCATTGCTCCTCGTGCCTCTCTGAAGGGGCCAGGGTCTGGCTTGTTGTCCCCGGTAGGCTTGGAACTCCACCCACTTCGAATGATGCCAAATTCTGAAGAGATGCATATCAGCCTGGATACCTCCGGGGAGCCAAAGGGGCTCCCCCCAGAAAATAACTCAATTGCAACCAGCAATGAGTAATTAAACACCATGGGATCCTCAGAATTTTTATGGTGCAATATGTATACTAACCCAAACTCTTTTAATGATGATAGAATTTAACCCCAAGACAAGAGATTGGTCATTATGATTGGAAGAACAATTTTTGTTTACCTAGTACAGGACTACTTTCTCAAACAGCATTTAACAGAGCCTACCTGGGATAAAAGCATTCAAGATCTAGTGATAAATACAAAGAGGGCATGATTGATCACATCCAGGTAGAGGAGAAGCTCACCCTTTCATATGTTCACTAAATCTAAGCATGGAATATAATTATAGGTCTAAGATGATGACTTTCAAGACTACCTTCGAGGAAATTAACAAAAGTAGAGAAATAGCATAACAGCTCCAGAAGGTAGTTAATAGATCAGGGCATGGAAGCAGCATGAAAATTTTTACAAAGGTCATCACTACACTTGTTCAAAAATATGTGCCAAGAAGAAGAGTGGAAAAAAAATAAAAGTCTAACAACTAAGTGCAACCCCTTGAAAGAAATATCAATCCACCAGGAATCACATAAATTATAAGATATACAGAAGAACATTAAATTTAGCTATGCAGGAAATTAGATAACCCATAAGAAACTATAAAAGAAAACTTGCACCAAAACATTAAGAAAGATCACGAGTCTTTTTATGCTCATATAAGAGGTAAAATCAAGGTATAAGACTTGGTAGGACCCCTTGAAAGATGGAACTAACCAAGTTAATAATTCATGACAAAATGGTAGCAAACACTGAACTAATACTTTACATTTGTGTTAATAGCAAAAAGATTAGACAATGTCCTAATACCCACACAGATGTTTGAAGCAGTAGAAGAAAATAATTTAAGGGATATCCCCTTAACATGTGAAACAATCAAGAAGAACAGTGACAGATTAAAGGAGTCTAAAGCCGCATGTGTGGATGGAATTTAATTCAAAATCATAAAGGAACTAACTAGATGATGAAATGTGTCTACCTCTGAAACTTCTATTCAGAAAACTTCTAGACCAAGGGAAAGTCCCCTAGAATGAAAATATGAAAAGTCACACCCTAACTTTAAAAAGGCCAGTCAGTAGAAAACTACCAATCAATCAGCCTAACCTCACATCTACAAGTTCATGGAGAAAATCCTAAAAGAGGGGAAATCCATCATAATCTCAAGTGTAGTAAAATCAACACAACATGGTTTTGTTAAAAATCAATCCTGCCTTACAAAAATTGAATGTTACAAAACTGCTCACATTTTGTGGAAATGGTAACCAGCAAATCAGACAAAAAACTTCAAGTAGACATAGTATATACAGGGGTATCAGATGAACTTGTACCTAGTTTTTAATGATCTACACTCTCTAATCCTTCATATATAATAGCGTAGTAAGCACATTGCTGCATATACCCATAAAAATAATTCTCTAAAGCTTTTACCCAAGTTTACCAGAGAGCCAATAACACTAGTGGCCTCGATGAGGACAGGAAACCGGCAGCTTGTCGAAGGTCCCCCCCCATTTGCCTTGATGATCTTTTCCAGCTGTATTAACCTATGCCTTATTCATAAGTAAAACCAAAAAGTACCTAATTTCATCCTCAAAGTTTCCTACCTTGTGCTTCAAACTCACACTGTATCTTGTGCTACCCACTTCCCCAACATTAGTACTTAAGACAGCCTATCCTCCTGTTTTGGTAGTACTTATAGTAACAATGAGGACCAAAGTATATATACCAACATACAACGAAATTAAAAAGTAGAAATCTGAACTATTGAGTTGAACTAACAAGAAAACTATATTTTACTTGAGGAAATCCACAAGTGCCATGACGAGGGTTTGAACCCGAGTTCAAACTCAGAAAGTTCGAACTTGTGACGATCTGAGTTCGTCACAGCCCTTGTGGATTTGTTCATTTGATGCATCATGCTATTGTGATTTCTGTGTGTATATTTTACTTGTGTTGGTTTGATAAACTTAACTAACCTAACCTAACCTTCCTAGGCCTAATACACGATATCTGAGGCCTAATATAATACATGTGTGTGCTATACTAGGCCTAGAAATATTTAAGTTTGTTTTTTTAGCTTTATTTATTTTTAAAGAATTCCTATCTAAACAGGAGGATGGGTTCCTTAAGACATGCAACTTTAGCAGTGTAATCGTTGCCCCCCCATTTATATTCTAGTTATTAAGTTGTACTCAAATTTTGCTACAATATACCTCTTAATAATAATAAACTTAGTAAACTTATCTGTTAGATTAAGGCCCTGCCCAAAACGCTATGCGTGTTAGTGCTTTTGCAAGAACGTAAAAACACCAATGTTATGTACTTTCAAACCCAATGTACCTTCTTGTATACTATATATAAGTAAATAAATACATAGAATCATTTACCTACTAAAGCCATAAATATCAAGACATTACTTTTGCAAGACATTACAAGACATGCAGCTGGAAAATACCAGTAATCCTAAGGAAAAATGGGGGACCTTAGACAAGCCACCAGCCTCCTGTCCCCACCAAAACCACTATTCAGGATGGCACTCTTGTAAATTCAAGTAAACTTGTATTATGTGCGTATAGGTTGGTCTCACACAACCTTAATTCATATATTGGTAAAAAGCTTGAATAAGACAAATATAATTACTGTGTGATGAATGATGTCAGCTTCGCTATGAAAGATCCAGTTAATCTGATACACTCCATGTTTTTATGTTGACACGAAGTTTGTGAAGTAAGTAATTATCAAAAGAAGACACCGAGCGAAGTTTGTTAAGATTTCTCTCCCAAATAACAGCAAGAGTGGTGTTGTGGGGGGAGACGCCTCGCTCTTTAGGGCTGATGCTTCACTGTTGTGTCTTGTAGTTGAAAACTATATAACTATGCAAAGATTACGCCGAGCCCAAAACTATATTATTTCTCTGTGAGTGCTGGCACAAATCTTCATGATATGTGCAGTTTGCGTGAAGGTTTTCTCCGCCTGATGACTGCTCCAGTGTTGTTGTTGTTGATATGAGGAGCGACGACGATGGTGGTGAGCGGTTGCGCTCCGGGCCCGGCGTACCTGTCAAGGGTTGTGTCCCAGGCCCGGCGTACCTGTCAAGGGTTGTGTCCCAGGCCCGGCGTACCTGTCAAGGGTTGTGTCCCAGGCCCGGCGTACCTGTCAAGGGTTGTGTCCCAGGCCCGGCGTACCTGTCAAGGGTTGTGTCCCAGGCCCGGCGTACCTGTCAAGGGTTGTGTCCCAGGCCCGGCGTACCTGTCAAGGGTTGTGTCCCAGGCCCGGCGTACCTGTCAAGGGTTGTGTCCCAGGCCCGGCGTACCTGTCAAGGGTTGTGTCCCAGGCCCGGCGTACCTGTCAAGGGTTGTGTCCCAGGCCCGGCGTTCCTGTCAAGGGTTGTGTCCCAGGCCCGGCGTACCTGTCAAGGGTTGTGTCCCAGGCCCGGCGTACCTGTCAAGGGTTGTGTGTCCCAGGCCCGGCGTACCTGTCAAGGGTTGTGTCCCAGGCCCGGCGTACCTGTCAAGGGTTGTGTGTCCCAGGCCCGGCATACCTGTCAAGGGTTGTGTCCCAGGCCCGGCGTACCTGTCAAGGGTTGTGTCCCAGGCCCGGCGTACCTGTCAAGGGTTGTGTGTCCCAGGCCCGGCATACCTGTCAAGGGTTGTGTCCCAGGCCCGGCGTACCTGTCAAGGGTTGTGTCCCAGGCCCGGCGTACCTGTCAAGGGTTGTGTCCCAGGCCCGGCGTACCTGTCAAGGGTTGTGTCCCAGGCCCGGCGTACCTGTCAAGGGTTGTGTCCCAGGCCCGGCGTACCCGTTGTAGCGAGTAGGCTTATACTCGCTCCATATAAACAATTGGGCCTCTACCCTTCAGACCGAACTATTTGCCTTAATCCTTGCACTGAAATGTGTACAAGTCTCCAAACTTGATACATTAATTGTAAGTGACTCCTTATCATCCTTAAATGCTCTCAACTCTTTAAGACATAACTGTAACATGCTCGTGTCCGAAGCTAGACACAAATACAACAAAATTATTAAGGATGGTGACAGAGTCCATTTCATGTGGTCTCCATCTCATGTTGGCCACCGAATGCATGATAGAGCTGATAAGTTAGCCAAAGAATCTGCCTTTAAAGGAGCCGTTGAGTGTAACCTTGGATTGTCAATGAGCAATCTGAGAGCAGCAGTACACCGAGAACTTCAACAAGATCTTGTAGATCTGAGGCAAAGTGAAACTGACACCAGTAATTCCATCTATCATCATACTATCATGCAAGAGGAGCCACACATCTATGGGTCATCCAATAAAATCAGCAGACTTCTAGATGTTACCACTGCTCGGCTTAGACTCGGTTACAAGTATCTCTGGGAATTCTCATTATCTGCTGATGTTGACCTGACCAAGTGTAAACTGTGTCAACAAAATTATTCGCACACCCTCTGTCACTATGTGATGGAGTGCGAAAAGATACGTGAATTTAGAGACAATTCTATAACCAATATTCCAGCGATGTGTAAATATTTCATTCAAAATGATCTGCTACCAGAAATTTTAGCCAAATATCCCCAGTTTGCTAACTGTAGGTAGTAACTCAGTGATTGTAACCTATCCACCGCTGCCCACTGGATGCGGGGCGGTGTGCAGGACAAATGGCCCACTGCCTTTTGACGAAAGGCGGTGGAGTTTCTGACGGGGGAAGGAAGAGACAATTGCGCATCGCGTCCCGCAGGCGTGGTGCGGCCAGCCTGGGTGGCATAAAAGGCGCGGGAAGTCAGGTCCCGCTCTCACTCCCTCTCCCGACCAGGTCCAAGATTCACGAAGCGCTCAGCACCACGCCTCATCGACACGTGGGCCAGTACCCTTACCACTTCTACGTTTTGTTTACTGTGTACACGGGATTTCTCAAGCAATCGGACTCCCTCTCCGCTACTATGGTCCCACAACTGATATTCTCCGATCCTTTGGGGCCTTCCACATCCCAGGCCGGTACCGCAGGGGCCCCCTGCCCTACCCAGCAAACCCTAAGGTAAGAGAGTTTCCTGTACAAGTTAGTCAGGACTACCCCCAGTGCTGGCGTGTGTTTGCGCCGTCCCTCGCGGCCCGTTCGTTCCGCTTAGCTAGTTCCCTAGGGCCTTCCGCCTGCTTGCCTCCCTGGGGTTGCTGGCGTTCCTCCAGGTCGGGACTGGTGCGCTGGTTATCTGCGGCGACTTCATGTGGCCTGGTTTCGGTGGTCCTGTGCCCTGGGGCCCGGCCCTATTGCGTGCTCGGTGGACCATTCGTCCCAGGTGTGCCCTCCCCGGTTTGCTGTGCCCCTAGGCTTGCCCTAGGGGCCATGTTTCGCCCGCGCCTGGCCGTGCGTGCGCGGCCAGGCTCCTTCTGCGGTCTGGCATCGCCCTCTGTGGCGACGCCACGCGGCGGTTTCCGGGGTTCTGAGCCCTGGGGCCCACGCCCGGTAGGCGGCGCCCACGTGGCTTTGAGCTCGGTGAAGCACTCGCCCCAAGGATGCCCTTCGTTTCCTTCCCCGTCCCAGGCGTTTTCCCCGGAACCTGGTTTGTTGCGCCCTCTTGGCTTGGCCCTAGGGGCCAGGGTTCGTGATGCACTTGGACGTGCGTGACCGGCCAGGTTCCCTGCGAGCGTCCTGGCGTCACCCTGGTGGCGACGCCTCCTGGCCGGGTTTTTAGTTGTCTTTGTCCCTAGGGCCCGACCCTAGGGGCCCATGCCAAGGACGGCATCACCCACGTGGCATGGAGCTCCAGGAGCGGTTGCCTTGGGCTGTGTTCGCTTCCTTCCTGTCCTTCTCCCTTTTCGCCCTCGGGCAGGAGACGCCCTTGTGGCGGCGGTGCCCCGGTGGGTAGGCCCAACACTTTCTTGTTATTGGCTGACTTGCGTCAGCCGGTGTCGTCCGGCATGTTCTTCTGATGTTTGTCTGGACGGTGATGCCCTGCTTGTTCGTCCCAGTTGTTTGTCCGTCCGGTGTTGCTCGTTTTGTCCGTATCTAGGCGTTTTGCTTGGCTGGGGTAGATCAGCCTGTTCGTTCCTAGACGTTAGTCTGGCTGGTGTAGCACAGCCTGTTTGTCCCTGTAGTTTGTCTGGCTGGTGTAACCCAGCCTGTTCGTCCTAGACGTTTGTCTGGCTGGTGTAGCCCAGCCTGTTCGTCCTAGACGTTTGTCTGGCTGGTGTAGCCCAGCCTGTTCGACCTAGACGTTCGTCTGGCTGGTGTAGCCCAGCCTGTTCGTCCTAGACGTTCGTCTGGCTGGTGTAGCCCAGCCTGTTCGTCCTAGACGTTTGTCTGGCTGGTGTAGCCCAGCCTGTTTGTCCTAGAAGTTTGTCTGGCTGGTGTAGCCCAGCCTGTTTGTCCTAGAAGTTTGTCTGGCTGGTGTTGCCCAGCGTATTCGTCCCTAGACGTTTGTCTGGCTGGTGTAGCCCAGCTTGTTCGTCTAGACGTCTTCTGGCTGGTGTAGCCCAGCCTGTTCGTCCTTAGACGTTTGGCCGCTTGGTGTAGCCCAGCTTGTTCGTCCCAGTTGTTGTCTGGCCGGAGTAGGCCAGCTTGTTCGCCCCAGACGTTTGTCTGGCTGGTGTAGCCCAGCTCGTTTGCCCAGACGTTTGTCTGGCTGGTGTAGCCCAGCTCGTTTCGCCCCAGACGTTTGTCTGGCTGGTGTAGCCCAGCTCGATTCGCCCCAGACGTTTGTCTGGCTGGTGTAGCCCAGCTCGTTCGTCCCAGACGTTTGTCTGGCTGGTGTAGCCCAGCTCGTTCGCCCCAGACGTTTGTCTGGCTGGTGTAGCCCAGCTCGTTCGCCCAGACGTTTGTCTGGCTGGTGTAGCCCAGCTCGTTCGCCCAGACGTTTGTCTGGCTCGTGTAGCCCAGCTCGTTCGTCCCAGACGTTTGTCTGGCTGGTGTAGCCCAGCTCGTTCGCCCCAGACGTTTGTCTGGCGGGTGTAGCCCAGTTCGTTCGTCCCAGACGTTTGTCTGGCTGGTTTAGCCTGCTTGTTCGTCCCAGTCGTTCGTCTGGCTGTTGAAGCCAGTCTGTTCGTCCCAGTTGTTTGCCTGGCTGGTGTAACCCAGCTTGTTCTTCCCAGTCGTTTGTCTGGCTGTTGAAGCCCAGCGTGTTCGTCCCAGTTGTTTGTCCGGTCGGTGTAGCTCAGCTTGTTTGTCCCAGTCGTTTGCCTGGCTGGTGTAGCCCAGCTTGTTCGTCTCAGCTGTTTGTCTGGCTGGCGCAGCCCTGCTTGCTCGTCACAGACGTTTTGTCTGGCCGGTGGAGCCCGGCTTGTTCGTACACGGATGTTCAGTCTCATCCGGTGTTGGTGTAGCCCGGTGTAGCCCGATCTGTTCGTACCCAGTCGTCTGGGATGGCCGGTGTATCCCGGCTTGCTCGTACCCAGTCGTTTGGGCTGGCCGGTGTATCCCGGTTTGTTCGTCCCCAGGTGTTTGCTGGCCCCGGTGTCCCACGTTATGTTCGCCCCAGCCGTTTGGCCTGGTCGGGGTAGACCGGCCCGTTTGTACCTTGACGTCTCGTCCACTCGGTAGCCGCCTGTTGTTCCTGCACGTACACGTTCCCTCCTGTTTCCCTGTCCTGTCCTCCAGCGCAGGCGCATGCCGTCGGGCGGTCTGTCCGCTTGGGTGGGCTATGTTATGTTAGTATCTTTTATTTAAGTTTCTAAATTAATTATTGCATTGTTCAGCTTAGTTATGCCTTGTATTTACTTACTATTCCTCTAGCAGCGTTAATGCAGTGTCCATTGCTGTGGGATACTCAACTAATTTTGTTTCACTTTTGAGAATATTATTGCTAGGCTAGCCATTCTCCCTTGATTAATACTGTTTTAATAACCATTCCATCCCTTGAACATTACAGTTTTACGCTATCCAAACCATACCATGCACATTACTGCTTAACCTACCATCCTATCCCTTGATTAATCCCGCTTTAAGCTACCAAATCTTCCCATGATTACCACTGTTTCTTTTATTTGTTCAGCTTATATGCAAGTACATTATATTACGGTCTTATTCTATTATTAGAATATATTATTC